ATGGCCAGATCACTTGACTCCCAAGAAAAAAATACGAAAAATTAGTCCATGTGATCACTTTTCTGCAAACTGATGATCTGTGTATCTGAAACCTATGTGCTAAGTCCTGCTCAAATAAACCAAGCTTGAGTCGCACACAAAACATAAACAACTCATCTACAAGAAGTATATTTCTTGAACCTGGTCTACCAACTCTTTCACCGGAAGCATAACAATATGCCATTTACGTATGATGCACGATCTTTCGCAGTAGATAGCGCTATTTATGCAATAGCGAAAATCAGACCTGAAAAAAATCAGGCCTGTACGGGATTCGAACCACTGACCTCTGCGATACTAGTGAAGCGCTCTACCAATTGAGCTAACAAGCCAACTGGGAGCAGGCTGTTAAGTTGATTCGTAATAAACCCGTGATGATAAATCAGATAGAATGAATATATGAAGTCCATTTATGTTGAACTGCGGTATTAAATACGTATGATGCACGATCCTTCGCAGTGGTTCGAATCCCGTACAGGCCTGATTTTTGTTCCGCTCTGATTTTCGCTATTGCATAAATAGCGCTATCTACTGCGAAGGATCGTGCATCATACGTATTTAATACCGCAGTTCAAAATATATGGACTTCATATATTCATTGTATCTGAATATGCCATTTGTGCAGCAAACGCATAGTTACTCTCATAATATCGTAAGAAATCGGGCGTAAAATGCCGTAAAATTCCATTCGGTTGCTATTTTCGATCTAATATTTTATTTTCATAGACTTTAGAATTCCAATACCTAAAAAAAAGCAGAAAAAAAGTATATTTTTTGAAGTACAGACCTTACGAAGCTGCCATGTTTCTTAGCCGTCGAGCGGGTTGTCAGGGACAGTTTTTTCACGATTTCGAGAAAAATATGGTGCTTTCCATCCAAAAATCGAGTCCAAACGAAAGATTTAGTAAATATCTTACAGTTTATGTAAATATTGCAGAGGGATTGAGCGTAATGAACAGAAAACTATATAGTGCTCTCGTGCACGGTTGTTTAGTGTGTGTAACTCCTGATATCTAGTTTTGGGCCAGTACGGAGAATCGCAATTCAAAAAGTACCACTTCTCGGCTTAGTCAAGTAGTGGCATATTTAACGTGACGATAGTGTATACATTTATCCAGATACTCTACCTTTGTAATCACACTTGGAAAGTTGATGTATTAAACTGTTGTTTTCCAGAATATCTCTCGTACTGAATCATTTTTGACAGCGTGGGATCATAATAAAGATTGCTCATTTTGTGTACAGAAATGATGCCAATTTCACTTAGGTACCCCGGGTAAACTCATCGACTTGACTAGATCGTCGATACTGTCCATCTTCACTGTTTTCAATGCATTTTTACAAATATCCTCTTACCCGGGGTACCTTAGCATGTGTGAAGAGTTGGTGTTAGAAGATTATGGGGAGGACCGGTTGAGAGAGATTTGACTAGGGTCCAGGTTGACCGCGCATTAACGGTCTCTCAGCTGCACAAGAAGTTCCATCCACGCATTAGAAGAATTCAGGACGGCCGTTAATTTGAAACTCTCGCTGGATTGGTTGCTCGACAAACAAAATTTTGTGAGATTTTTTGCGGTGAACTTAATGGGAAACTATTTGGCTTTCGTGCTGCCGAGTTTTGATTCGAAAGTATTTAAGTGTTGTTTTAGAGCGATTTTGGCGAGCATGTGTTAACAGAAGTTTCCGACCTTCCCGTATTTTATGCACGGTAATTTAGGGCGCCAAGCTAAAACACATCAAAACGGCCTCAAATCGCGAGGAGAACAACACAGACTACTCTCTATGAAGGTAAGACTTTATTTCTTTGATTATTTCACACAACTTTACATTTACAGAGCTCAAAGGCAAGTCTAACTAAACTACTATACAAACTCTTTAATTATTCACTGTCAAAGAGCCTGTGACAGAGCTTGGGCTACCTGCGGTCCAGCCGTGGGTTCGGGGAGGAGCGCGGGCTCCGTTTCCCGAACAGCGGCTGGTAATCGAGCCTATTGCTATAACCAATGGATGAGTTGCTAATTTTTTGGAGTCGTAGATTGATTTTTATTAAACAAAAATATTAATAAAGGAATTAAGTATGTCACGGACTTCGTATATCTTTGTAGCCATTCTCTCTCTGTAGTTAGAAGTGGAGTCGTTTAGACAGAGACGTAATGGCCGATATGAAGTGTTAAGGAAAGTTTAAAGCCGTTAGACAGTTATTCTGTTTTTGATATTGAGCAGTCATGCAATTAACACCTCTGTAAAACGTTCGGATATAGTGAAATTTAGGATCAAGCTCCGCTGCAGAAAATCTTAGCTAAGATAGTAGTTATGTAAGTAATTTAGTTGAAATTGCAGTATTTGGAATAATAAGAATGGCGAGAAGGAAAACATCATGATACAAACTTGTATAAAATTACTTGGATGAAATTCACTAAGGTGTGAAATGGGTTTTTAGAGGTGGTGTGTTGAAATAAATAATAAAATAGTCCGTACCTCATATTTCGATGTTTCCGTATAATTGCACGGACAAGAGAATTTCCAACGATATTCATTACAACAAGCAAGGAGAACACGGCTGTCACTGCCTCACCACTCATGACGATGGATAAATTATCCTATAAAATAGGTACTCTGGTTGAAATTCTGCGAAATGAAAACGTTCCTTCACTTAACTTAAGAAATTCTCAATTGTAGAGAACCTTCTTAATAATGGCGAGGTGAAACAACACGATGATTCAAATTCATTTATGGTAATTTTAGCTGTGCCGGTAGTAGCTGTCAATCAAGCATTAAGAGTTGTATGTTCTATCCAGTCAAATAAAGATTAGGAATAATCAATCTAGCTGGTTTATAAAGTCTAGGCAATTACTTCTAAATTGAGTTACTACCACTAGCATAACCTTTTTTAGAAACAACAGCCTAGACTTTATAAGCTAGCTAGATTGATTATTCCTAATCTTTATCTGACTGTATTGAATATGTAACTGTACAAGCCCCTATACATTATATTGTTCTCTTTTTCTTTTCTTCATTATTAATTGTACATATATTTTTCACTGTATTTACTTCTCGGAGATATTAGTGCTTATACACTGCTCTTCAATCTGAGTTGAAATAAAGTTTTTAAAATACAACTACTACTGAGGTTATGAAATTACCAGAGGGGACGAACAGTACCATGGGAAATGTATTGAGAACAGTTAAGAGCGACATTTTTTCAAGACCGCGTGATAAGTGGCACATCGACCGAAAAATTACCATCCTTATATTTCAGTCAGAGACACCTTATAGTAAATATAAAAATGTGGTAAGGTTTTTATTCCCAGCCTTGCTTCTTCATCCCAGAAAATTCACGAAAACTGAAACGAGCGTCGGTAGCCATAAAATGGCGGAAATCAGTGCCCCGATTAGAGGCAAATGAACATTGCTCATGAAAAGTGCAAAAGAAAGCAAGTTCGTATCAATTGTATAAAGTTGTGTATCTAAGAAGGATTCATGTATGGTTTAAGTCTAAAACGAGACCGTTTCACTTAAATTGGAGCTCACGAAACGCTTTTAAAAATCACCAATATTTCAAAATCCAAATGTCGCATTTCGTAGCAAATTTTCATTTATCAATTTTCTCATGCGGTATTACTCAGTATCGGGTCAGATTAAGCCCATGGTAAGTGGAAATAGTGTTGTTTTCGAGGATATAAAAATTAGTCTGGGGCTTTTCATTTCCACACGGAAAAACCAGGATGAACTTTGTGAAAGTCACAACATCGGCGTTTACGTGGCGACATATTCTAATTAGGCACTCTGTGGTTAACTCCAGAATTTCAATCATATTTTAGCAGTTAGCACCATGTTCGACCAGGAAATCCATACAATAAGTTAGCCTTGCATAGCTAACGACGACAGATTGGTTTTTATCCCTGCTTTCGTTTCAAATTCTCATCCATTTCCCGTGGCGAAATTATTTACAATATCACATTCCGTAATCTTGCGGGGGAGGCGTCTGTTTTTCTTGGTATATTGGGACACATTTAAGTTTCAAGAAAGTCTTAGGGTAAAACTGAGCTTCATAGTGGAATTGAAATAGGGATATTCCATCATTTATACCGGTAGGTCAGATGTTCTTTGCCGAAGACGTTGAAAACGGGAAGCAATCTGCTACAAATGTAGATGAAACACACTCAAGCGTTTGTCACGCAAAGCTGAAATTATTTCAATCTTGTTCCCATCTTGCAATTTTGCGGCCACGAAGATAGGTAAACAAGGTTTTGGACAAACTTGTCAATGTGATAATTTTTCTTATGAGTAAGTCATCGCTGTGAGACTTGTTAACTTCGCAGCGGGGATCTGGTGTAGAATTGAATGTAACTGAGTGATATCACCTACCTGGAAGAGCCAATAATCAGAACACTGTCGGGGAACAAGTTAGTTGCTCATTAATAATAAGTCAAATATTTATTGAAAAAGGAATTAGTTAAATGATTACGTGATAGATTGCATCAATTCTCAGTAAATTGAACTTAGTGCACAGTTTATCAGCTGATGTACTTTGCACGCGCTAATTGAACCAAATAAGGAAGGGATTATGTGAATTAGGCTTAATATATCGTACGATAGTTGAAGCTGTGCATGTGATACACTATAGTACTGAATTGTGTAAGACAGCAGAAAATCTGAAGTGCACGTACACTGTAATCAGATCGATAGTAAAACCCTTGAGAGGTAGAAGAATAAACTCCGTGTTAAAATAGAACGTAGACCGTGTGATAGATACAATCCTCAGTTGAACCAGCGAGCGGAACAAAAATTCCGCAACATCACAAAACAGAAAAAATAGCTAAAGCAAAGCGAAGGAAAGAGAGGAAAAAATATGATAAAAAAAGATTAGGGAAAGAATCAAAAGTCAGAGTAAAGACGAAACAGAGGCAAGTACAAAATGATTAAAATAGGAGAAGAACCGAGGTGAACTAGAACTGAGGATAAAGGCTGATAGTTTCTAAAGAAACTGTTTGGGGCTGCGTCGGTCCACTTAATTATTCGTGTTTTTCTTGTTGCCATGTTCCCACCAATAACGTAGCTCCATTTTCTGCCTTTAAAAGCACACACAACACACAATTCCTCTATTCGCTCCGACGAAGGGCTAACGCTCGAAACGTCAGCTTTTATAATCGTAACGGTGGCCAATTTACCATTTCGATTTTGTTGATATATTACAACTAAGGAAAAATGTATAATGGGCGATGTGCTATTTGAAATCACTAATACAGATAAAGAATCTTACCTGAGTTAAGAAAGTTCTCCCCAAATTGAGAGTTTTAGTTACAAAACTCACGCAAATAGAAGTCAATATTCTCAGGCATTGGTTGGGCTGCAAACTGTTCGCAAACTAAAACAACTGTGTTGAGAAAAAGGGTTATGCTTTTGATACCTCAGCTAATGTTACTTCAGCTGACGTTGTCCATTTCTGAACACCTAAAGGCTGTCGGCAATACCGATGTTGAAGCCGTAATAGATATAATTTTAGATCGAGCGCCAATTTTCAACATACCCTCCTGCAATGGGACAAGATCACCTGTTCCGGGCATCTCTTTTCTGCTTTAAGTGTTGGATGAAGGAGAGACTCACAAAGATGCGGTGTATTCTGGAAGGGTTAACCAGCCATGCTAATGGAATAACGCGCTAGGCTGATCGCAGATTTAGCGCCGGTCTAATCAAAATGGTACGGCACGTTGTTAAAGAATTTCTTTAAATTTGTGGTTTGCTCGTAGAGACTTCATGAGGCAGCCTTCTTTATTACAGAGGCCCGAAATCGTGGAAGTTCGGAACGTGCGCAGAGAGATCCGTACAGAAACGACCGAGGGCCGCTATTCCCCATATTTTAGTCAGTACAGATTATGCATTATATGTAGACGTCTCGGGTTGATAGTTTGTCGTCCCCAAGAGACAAACCGAATGTGTATTTTGAATCAAGCTTAAGAGATGCCAGTCCCATTCGACATGTACTTTCTACTCCATAGAATAAAGTGTCAGAGTGCGCTAAGCATTACTATACCAATAAAGGATGGCGTATGATTACCACCTGCCTGGATGAGCTCAACCCCGAACAATCTGACGAAGTACTTGATTGTTTAGCTAGATCGAAATTTAAAGGCGTGGATGACAGTCTTGACTACACTTTGCTTAAAGCTCTTTGTGAGTGTTACAAGAATACAAATCCCTGGTCAAAAGGCGAAAAGGGCTGTCTATTATGGTAGATAAAGTAAGTTTCAATGGTCTGAAAAAATGGATACCAGACCTGACGCGGTACAGATTTAACACTGCTCGACATCATAGACTACTCCATGGCACGCGTGGAAATATTTTCTGGCACTCTGCATTTAGTATTTAACCTTCGAGTCCATCCAAGACCAGGTCTTGAGTGATGAAGTGGGCATATTGTCCATGTATCAACATCGTTGGGTCGTGGGAAAACAGCTGCTGTACTCAATATCAATTTTCGCGACTTAAATTTCCTTGGCCAAAACAAACTTCTTTTCACCGTGGACATTACGTCTCTTTACACTGTCATTTCTAATGGCGAAGGTCTTCTGGCCCTTAAACATTTTTTTGATCAACGTACTGTTAAGGAACCCAAATCTGAAACACTACTACGCTTAGCCGAACTAGTGCTCACACTCAATTGTTTTTCATTC